GTGGTGAAGTTAACACAGTATTCAAGAATAGAATACGATTCACACTTTTATTATTAGATATTTATTAAACACTTTCTACCTGAAAATACTTGATGGTTTTCTTTTCTTTTTTTATCCTACGATGTCATCTAGATGCCAATCCCACTCTTCCACAAAACGTGTTTCAAATGTTCATATAATGTTATTTATCATATTTTGTTTGTTATACCTACTTCATAAATATTTTATCTAAATTATTGATATATAAATAAACTTATGGACTTTTCAACTTGAAAAAATATTGTTATAATGATTTCTATCGTTAAGTGGAGTTTTTTGTTATTATTTGATAAAGATAATGAAATGTTCAGTCCACTTAATGAAAAGAAAGCATTTTATCATTTCAACTAGAGCGTTCAAGTTCTTCAAGTTACGTTTGATAGCAGCCCAAAGTTTATATATAGTGTTTTAACTGAAATTTTGAAACTAATGAAAGGCCTAAGTCACAAACAAAGTTTAAACGTTACTCGCTTCTCTCTATTATTTAAGAACTTCATTGAAGGGATAAAATAAACAAATATAAATGTACTCTAACTGTCGTTTTTATGTTATTCCTAAAGCTTCTTCATCTCTTAACAAAATTTGGGATTTCACATGCTCATCACATTACATCAAAACTAAAACTACCTCTAGAAAAACATCTAAATTATAATATTAGGCATATAATCTACAGCACTGCTGTTAACAGATGTTGCAATGTGTACCAGGACTGCTTTTAACAGATGTTGCAATGTGTAACAGGACTTCTGTTAACAGATGTGTACTAGGGCTGCTGTTAACAGATGTGTACCAGGGCTGCTGTATACAGATGTGTACCAGGGCTGCTGTTTACAGATGTTGCAATGTGTACCAGGGCTGTTATTAACAGATGTGTACCAAGGCTGCTATATACAGATGTGTACCAGGGCTGTTATTAACAGATGTGTACCATGGCTGCTGTATACAGATGCATACCAGGGCTGCTGTTTACAGATGTGTACCAGAACTGCTGTTAACAGATTTGTGCCAGGCTGCTGTTAACAGATGCAAACGTTTACAAATAAATGAATTCTAAATAAAGAATTATCTGTAATTTTCCAAAGTGAATTAATAAAACGAATAATTAGTGATTATGGCAATAATTTATAGATACTTATAGAATGATTTCTTTATAATGGGGTTTATACATTGATTTAAGACTAATAACTTATAACTGGTTAAGCTTCATGAAGTATTTTATGGATTAAAACAGATTACACAGTTATTAGAGAAGGTTCTCCATTAACAATTCAATATGCTTTCTAATGGCAAATTATACATTCTTTGTTTCATGTACATCAGTGATCGAACTTTGATCATAAAGTTTTGTTTTCTGTCTAGGTTTTGAAAGTAAATTTTAATATCTAAGTTAGACCTAAATTTATATATTTTGGTGCCTACTTCTGTGAGTAAATCGAGACTTAAAACAAATCACGAAAACTTCACCTGGATCAATCAATTCCCCTGGCTGGAGAAAATTTTGATTTCTCAGAGATCGAAGTCCGAAATCACAAAGTTTGACCGCAAATCGACTGGTCAAGAGACAGTTGGTTGACTTCAGTCTCCCGTGGTAGTTTATTGTTGAACCGTGAATAAACATCATGCCCTGCGAAGAAAAATGTCCTACTTAGATGTATATATAGTCTCGGTTAGTTGTCTGGTTTGATGTAACAGAAAAAAGTGGTCGTCATGTATAGAGTACAATCTCCAGAAATTACTTCAGAACTTTTAAGTTTTTCAACTTCAGCTTTTTACTTAAAGTCAGAATTCAATCCGTTATTACTTTACTATGTTTAAGTTTTTAAAACTTGATTTATGACTTCCATTAAAATGTCAAATTGCTACAACGATGTAAAAACACATCTTTAAAATTAGGTCGTTAGGGCTGGGAGTATATTAATGGTCAATATACCCGGACTGTGAAACCGTTCATGGCTTGTGTCCGGTTGTTTCATAAACGTGATCCGTACTTTGGGGCTATGAATACACTGTAAAAATATTCCTTCGTTCACACCAACAAATTTCCACCAGTTATTGCTGAAAACAACTCGTACAAAAATCACAACAAAAACCTCAAAACGTAACTCTTGGACAATCTTTATATTAATGAACCATCCAACAACAAAAACGTTACTCTGTAGTTTACCATTTATCCCTGAAATTAGTTAAAAAATAATTCGTGCTTGGACAAAACTCGCCATTAAAAAAGAAAATTACCGTCTACTTCAAATTTGCTACAAAAATCCTCCTTTAAACTAAATAAAAAGCATGTGGAATATCGCTCGCCATTTATGAAATCACGAGTAACAACTGTCTAGAAATCTATTTCGGAGAAACTGAAAGAAAATTAAAAACTAGACTCACCGAACGTAATAAAAATCCTCCCATGTTTTGTAACCACTGCAACTCAAAAAGTATTGAACCTACATTACAAACACCCTTATTTTAAACAAACAACTAAACACCAACAAATGTAAAATCAAAGAAGCCCTCTCAGCCCGGCATGGCCAGGTGGTTATGGCGCTCGACTCGCAATTTGAGGGTCGCGGGTTCGAATCCCCGTCCCACCAACTATGCTCGCCCTTTCAGCAGTGGGAGTATTATAATGTGACGGTCAATCCCACTATTCGTTGGTAAAAGAGTTGTTGTGTTAAAGTTGCAATACAATTTTCACCGTTACCCATTCAACCCGCTTCTATACTTTAACCGAAAAAAAAAAAAGGTCAGAAATCTCACCTGTACAATATCATTGATTATCGAAAAGCGTATTGTCCAGTCGATATTTATATCATAATTATTGAGAAGGTCCTATAAAGAAAATATCAAAAAATTATATTTTTATGATGGGCAGTTTTTACACTATTTTATAAAAATACCAAAATCCTACATCTAGCATGAAGTTTTAATAAAAAAACATTCTTGACTTATACACTGCTAAAAAAAAAACATGTGCTAGAGGAACAAAATATGGAAGCAATTTCTTTAAGAATAACGTAAAATTAGTAAATTGGCAATATTACGTGGAAGTCAAACAGTAAAACAGCAAAATTTTAATAACAAGTGACTCGTTAAGTATATTCATGGACATGACAATGCGATATTACATATATCCAGCAGGCTTTTTTTTTAAATTGAGAACTAATTAAATGTAAGTATTTCACACGTTTTACTTAAGGATACTTCTTAAAATTAATTATCCTACAGCTTTCCCAGTGGGCTTATATTATTAAAAACTGGGTTGATACTCATGGTGGGCACAGCACGGATAGCCCAATGTGTAGATTTGTACTTACCATAAACGCACTATCTTTTTTAATAGTATATTCTAATTTTGAAATGAATTCAGCAGAATAAACTTGTTGTAATACTTAGATTAATAAAATTGGAAATACCTAATTTCTCTTCTCCATTTACAAAGTTACACTGAAATTAATAATAAGAGTATATTTTACGTTTAATTAATCAAAACAAGGCATATTTTACGTTTAATTAATAAAGTCAAGGTATATTTTACGTTTAATTAATAAAAACAGAGTATATTCTACGTTTTACAGATTTTGTTCTTGAGGAGCTATTCCTCAGTCAAATAAAAAATAATTGTACGTGTGGTATTCTCAAATCCCTTCGAGCAATCAAGTAGGATCAGCTATATAACAAGAGATTCAACAGGCAATGTTTTTCAGGGGTAACAATGAATTCTCCGAGTCTCACAGAGTTCAAAGCAAAGAAAGAAATACTGAGCACAAAGAGAAACACAAAGAAAATTGTCTTTATTCAGCATTTTAAGTTTGTCCTAACTTACAAGCGCATAAATTTAAAGATAGCACCCTTATTGAATCGTTAATTCTTACAAAACTCTCCTACGAACTTGTTAATAGGTTTAAAGAAAACTAGTTAACTTTACTTATCAGAGTGAGTGCTTGAGCTTGAGAGAGCTAGGACTGAGAGCACATACCATTATATAGAAAATTCTATAATACCATCCATCTCAGGGTACATGTGCTCACCTACACCACCTTGTGGTCATTCCAATAGATGAGTAAGGGATGAATTACTCAAGGTATCACTTATCACACCAATGCAAAAAAAAAATCGCTCTTTGTTTTCAAAAAGTATGTTCAACTGTACAGAAACATTTCCCACAAGATACTATAGGTGAATGTCACAGAACAATACTTAGTTATATCCTACGTTAAAACTACTTACACCTTTATGCGTGTTAAAACTAATTACATCTATAGGCCTGAACATTTTTGAAAAATATGTATAGAATTAGGAGAAAAAAACGTGAAATATGCCTGAACGCTATATAAATATTGATGACACTTACACATAGACTTCCACGCTGGCAATATTCAGATACAATATACACATAAGGCTCGTGCAGACATAGACCTACAAATCGGATCATGTTGTTATGGATTTCATCTCTCATCTGAAATTAACATATATATTCATGTACAAGCAAAAAGAAATATGTGTCATGTTTCTTCTGTAAAAAAAGTAAACTTTAATAAATTTACATTGTATTAGGTAAAACTCATTAATATGCACTAGTGTTTAAATCAACGCATTTGTGTTGTAAATAAAAAATACACACAATACTTTTCATCCCATAGTGACTATAGAAATAAAATCAAAAATCATAAGTTCTAGAGATGACAGCGAGCGGGAATTTCTTGGTCACAGACTGTGAAGGTAGTTGAAGTGAGTCAAGCCTCACACCTGTGTGTTGGCATAAAGGCAACAATTAATATTGACTCTCGTTGAAAGTTAGTCATTACACGAGTAGAGAAACTCTTCGCAGAGTGATGGCAACTTCCAACTTTCCTCTTCCTGAAACTCTGTGGCCACTTTCTACTCGAATCAATCTATATATGTTAATTACCATATCAGGTCAAATAATGGTACTTGTACATCCAGTGTCAATCAAAATAGTGCTAGGCTTCCCATCAAGTGCATCTTGTGACTCACGGACTGTCTTTTTATCTCTACTTATCTCAGTTGGGGGCAGTAAAAGTAATATCATCTTTAGAATATCGTCTACATGGTTTATAACAATCTCGAATATAATATCCATTAAAGGACAAAGTTACTAATTCATGCAGTAATTACTTACTAACTAACATACTTACTGAATAATAACTCAACTTCTAACATTTCTTGCTCTTTATATATGATCATTGTTGTCAAGTCTCGCGAGAAATATAAGCGGCACTACCACTCAAAACAACCTCCAAACAAGCGGAACTACCGTTCAAAACAAGCCCAAAAAAGCAGTACTATCGTTCAAAAAAAGCGGCACTGCCTTTCAAAACAAGCCCAAAACAAGCGGCACTGCCGTTCAAGCAAGCCCAAAACAAACGGCACTGCCTTTCAAAACAAATTCAAAGCAAGCGGCACTACCTTTCAAAGCAAGCTCAAAACAACCGGCACTACCGTTCAAAATAAGCCCAAAAAAGCAGTACTATCGTTCAAAACAAGCGACACTGCCTTTCAAAACAAGCCCAAAACAAGCGGCACTGCCGTTCAAAGCAAGCCCAAAACAAACGGCACTACCGTTCAAAATAAGCCCAAAAAAGCAGTACTATCGTTCAAAACAAGCGACACTGCCTTTCAAAACAAGCCCAAAACAAGCGGCACTGCCGTTCAAAGCAAGCTCAAAACAACCGGCACTACCGTTCAAAATAAGCCCAAAAAAGCAGTACTATCGTTCAAAACAAGCGACACTGCCTTTCAAAACAAGCCCAAAACAAGCGGCACCGCCGTTCAAAGCAAGCTCAAAACAACCGGCACTACCGTTCAAAATAAGCCCAAAAAAGCAGTACT